CAAACCTCCGGCCCTCCATCTGCGGTGGAACTACAAATCCCATGAGGGATTGCAAGGTTCTCACAGCCACGACTCCCGGAGAGAGGTGCATCATGGGATTTGTAGTTTCACCTAAGCTGGAGGGCCGGAGGAGGTTTGCTACCCCTGGTTTACTGCTTCTGCCTTTCAGCACTGGGGGGTCCCTGGGTCGAATCCAAGCCGGGACACTATCTGCATGGAGTTTGTATGTTCTTCCCGTGCTTGCGTGGGTCTCCTCCCACACTCCAAAGACATGCTGGAAGGGGTAATTGGCCCCCGTCTGTAACTGGCCCATGTATGTATGTATGTATGTATGTATGTATGTATGTATGTATGTATGTGAGATGGGGACCTTAGATTGCAAGCTCCTGAAGGGCGGGGACTGATGTGAATGTGCACTGTGTAAAGCACTGCGTAAATTGTCGGCGCTGAATAAATACCTCAACTATGAACATTTGTGTATCACTCGGGTGTAGTGGTGGCGAGTCATTAGATGGTGCCCGGCTAATCGGGAAGCCGGGTGGCGAGTCATTAGATGGTGCCCGGCTAATCGGGAAGCCGGGTGGCGAGTCATTAGATGGTGCCCGGCTAATCGGGAAGCCAGGTGGCGAGTCATTAGATGCCACCTGGCTTCCGTTACTCGGTTATTAGTATCGGCGAGTACCGAAATTTTTTTATCGGTACCAAAAAACCGGTATCGGTGCGTCCCTAGTATGGAGGACGGGGGACACACCTGCTGAAAGTGAAGGACAATTCTCCCACCACAAGGCCCGGCCATCACTGCCCACCAAGACACAAATCTTTATGTACAAGATAAAGCCTCAATGATACGAGAAGTCTCGGCGCCGACTCCGCAACGGATCTCCACCCAGCAGCCGGGGAGGACCCGATGCAGAGTCCAGCTTGTGGAATCGGACCTTCAGGCAGAAATATCTGAGCCAATCACAGACAGAAAGAGACGGAGCTCCCTCCGGTTAGAGCGTACCGCTATATTGATCTTGATGGTCTGTCCCTCCTTGAATCCCAGGTCCAGCTTGGGTCCGGTGTCCGGGTTCTGCGCCTGTTTAGCAAACTCTGTCTGTTGCTTCACCCACCTGAGGAGAGGAAAGAGGGAGGGTAGGTGAGCGATTAGGGCACGCGAAGGCGCAGATAACGGGCTAACCGCAAAACATACCCTTACAGGGGTGCCGCCTCGGCGCTGCAAGGGCTGCGCGTTCATTTCTGTATGGGGGGGCCGGAGTAAAAGGACTACTTCTCACCGGATCCCTCCTCCCCCGACGGTCAGTGCTCCCCTCTTCCACCCCTCGGCGTCCTCACCTCTAAGGCAGGTCCTTTCCCCTATCACCCCCCCGTTCCGGTGACATGTCTCCCCCTGACGGAGGAAACACAAAAAACTGAGGAGCTAGGAGGGAGGCGGGCCTTTTAAAACAACTAGGGGTGACGCGTTTCCTGCTAAAAGGGGCGGAGCCTATCTCTCGTAAGCTGTTCTGGAAGTAAAAGGAAAGATGATTTACTCCAGTCGCCTAGTCAAAAATGAGCACTTAACCCTTGCAGCGTGGGGGGGGGGGG